CCACAAAGACGAGCCAATCGACTTAAAATTAAGTGCCACGCTAGTAGGAACAAGTGCCACGCTAGTAGTAACAATGTTAGCTATTAGAAACACGTGCCTTACTACTAGTAACAATAAGAGTTTAATTAGAATTGTAATTACAGAATTCCGTTGAAGGACTCAACCGAACATTGTTACTACTTGTTACTACTAGCGTGGCACTTGTTCCTACTAGCGTGGCACTTGTTACTACTAGCGTGGTCTAAACTTACTTGGACTTAACATGACTTAACTGATGATAAGTTTCTAGTCTGATTTGCACGCAGTGGCGGAGGCCATTGCATCTGGATGCAACAATCCACTTGTGTCCTTGTGAATCCGATTCCTTTCGCTTTGGTTCCTTGGTGAACACCTTTGCGGTCTACAGTGAATCCAGAGAATGCATGAGTCCATTTCCATTTTAAAGAAATTCTGTAACTGTTCGCCCCATTCATCCGACTCATCAAATTATTTGCTCTGGTTTTGGTCATGGACCACTCATCAAGATTGTTAAGCTTTTGGGTTTTGCTTTCATGTGGCGAGCAAGGGACCGCCAAGCTACTTGCGGCCTCCAGCCTCCCTACTAGCAAGGAGCCCCTAGTAGCGTCCTTGCAGTAGCGATGCCAGGAGCCCCTAGTAGCGTCCTTGCTCCTACTAGCAAGAACCAGGGAACCTGTAACCCGCTCTGGAGCTTGCCAGCATATCAGCGGGACGGCGTGACCCGACGTCAGCGTGTTAGCGCGAATCGTGTCAGCATGCCAGTGCCAGTGCTTTACCGCGTCATGTTACCGCACGACAGCGCTATATATGCAACATGCCAAAAGGAAACCGTCTCAGCATATCACCATGATCACATTACATGTCAGCAAAGACAGCGCGTCAGCGTGACAGCATGGCTGCAAGTTAGCAGTGGAACCTCCTCTGGAACCAGCTCCGGAATCTGCTCCGAAGTCTTTGCTAGCTATCAGGTTGGAGGCCATGGCTATTGGGTTGGAGGACGTCGCTACCAGGTTAGATTGGAGGCCATCCCTACTGCATAGGACTAGATTGGCCACGTTCTGAGATCAACAACCACATGCCTGCGATTGCGTGCCAGCTGTACCATTGACAGCGTCAGCGAGCATCCAATTTCACCTATACAAGTAGTTCCCGGGCAAGCTGGCGGCGGAAGTTTCCAAAAGATTAAGCCTATAGGAAATGGGCATGTGGCAGGCTGATTCGCCGAGCTGCGATGTTCTTTGACAAAACAACTTGGAACCGACCAATAGAGCGAAAGCGAAGCAACCACCGTCAACTGTCTCGCAGGAAAAACGTTGTTCATACATTTTTGCAAAATACAGAATAGAGATGACTCAGCCGCGTACTAGAGTTGTACTACAAAGTCGCCAGTTCTCATCTTCCAGCTCCCCAGATACTCCGC